GTGGATTTTGAAAGCTTGTCTCTCTCACCAACAGAATTTGGTCCAATAAAAGATATTATCTCACCCACCACATAACTCTCACCTCCTGAGACCAACAGAGGTACAGCATTCCTCATTCCACACAGTTAGTGGTTTATGACCTGAAACATTAGTTTATAACTTGGGTGATTGTGCTGCTGAGTTTATGCTGGGAATTGAGAGGGGAAAATATCCCTAATATACATCCACAGAAATGCTGAAGTCATTGGGACACTTGGGTGTAAGCATTATGCTCTGTTAGTACACATTTGCAGCATTTGATTTGGGCTGTAAGGTTTTCGGGACAGAGACCTCTTGTTCATGTCTACACAAATAATAAATACTCAGAAGAGATGCTATTTAGTACCAGATTCTTAGTCTTTAACACAAAGACCAGTTCCACTGTGCTGCAGCTGAGGTAGATTTCAACAGGCAATATTTTGAGGCTTTTCTTCAACCAGTGGAAGGAAGTTTATTGAGACTCGCATTTAACAGCCTTGCCAATGTGCAATAAAATTGCAAGGTGCTTGATCAGAAGCAAATCATGAAGGTGGTTCACAAAAATCTCTATTTTAAACAGGAAAGGACTGTAGAGAAGAAACAGTCCAAGTTTCTCAGGCGCTTAGATTTTGAAGTAGTGCTTCCCTACCCCAAAAGACAGGCAAGGTACAAATGAGCATATCCACCTGAAAAAAAAAAAAACACGTACAGCTGGCCATTAATCTCACAATTATTTGAAGTGTGGATGGAGGGGGTCTAACACCCTGGGACTGGGGCACCTGAGCCACTGAAAATGAGACAGCAAGTCTGGATAAAAACTGGGTTCTCCCACGCTCTCAAATCTTGCTGCCTACATGGAGACCAAGCTGAACTACTCCAACTTCACCTCAAAAGCCCAGATCCCAAGGCATCCTGATACAACAGTGCTGCAAAACCCTTGTTTGATCCCCTGCCTCTGGCAGGTTCCCTGCACCGTGATTCATGGGGGTTTGGATTATCCTGGTGTGGACAAGGAAAATAATGTTAGGGTGGGTGGGTGTTTGGGGGGGGAGAGGGCTTGCATTCAGAAATTAGCTGGATCCAGCAGGGTACAGATACCAAATCTGAGATCTTGCAGTTTCCTTGGATCCGGGTGTGCTTGGGGTCCTGGCCTCTCTGGAGGAATATTAGAAGCAACACTTGCTCTGTACTCTGAGGGCACAAGCTGGGTTTTCAGCTAAAACTTGGCAGGATCCAGGTTCCGAATCAGAGATATGTGTTTGTTTTTTGCTCTGCTGGGGAGCGTTAGAGTCCAGATGATTAAAGTACAGGACTGGCTACCCTATTCTTCGCTCAGACAGAAGTTTGGACGAAGGACTGTGACCACACATTGTTGGGATCAAGGTGCCAGACCCAGAGTTTTGTGGTTTGGGGTGTGTGTGTGCCCATGCACTTGTTCTCTGTTTAAGCATCAGAATTTGGGTGCTTGGGGACACAAATTAGCCGGATCTGTGTTTTTGTGATACTGTTGCCAGGATGGGCGGGGGGGGGGGGGGGTAGGTTTTTTGATGCTACAGGGCTAGGTGGGCTTGTTCTTCGTTTAGGTAGTGAAAATGTGAGGGGTTGGGAACAAAAATAATCAGGTCCAAGCAGGGGTGAAAGTAACGTAAAGGACTTACCGGTACTCCACAGTCCTGCAGAGGGGGCGGGGCCTCAACTGGAAAAGGCGTGGCCTCTACCAGAAGAGGTGGGGCCTTTAAATCCCGGGGCTTTTAAATCAGGATTTAAAGGGCTCGGGGATCCGGCTGAAGCTAGGAGCCCCGGGCCCTTTAAATCACCCCCGGAGCTACCAGTTGCAGAGGCAGCTGGGAGCTCTGGGGTTTGGGCAGGGGTGAAAGTAATTTACATTTCTTACCCATATGGTCCAATCGCAAGCAAGCAACCCACCTCTCCTACGTACTTCATGGATCCCTCCCATTGCACGACATAGATATAGAAAATAAAGCTGCTGCTACTACTAAAAATACTGTCTGTAATAAAACTTTAATATTGGAATAAGCCTGAAAAAGTGAAAACTCACTGTCACATTTTTCTCCATGTCTTCCCTCCTCCTCCAGCCAGGCTGCCGACGCTAGGCCGTGCTTTCCCCCTGCCTGGCACTCAGCAGTGGCTGCAGGGACTCCCCTCTAGCTTGCAGCAGGGAGCAAGGAGACTGGCTGAGGGAGGGAGAAGCCTGCCTCCTGCCTAAGAACAGTTTAAACTCAGCTGTTCCCTGAGCGGTTCAGCCCCCGGGGTTAGGAGCTGTTTCTGGCATCCTTGTTAATTTCACTCACGGTTGTTGCGGGGGCGAAGGGTGTGTGTGACCATGGCAGGAGCAGTTCTTTTCTGCCTCCTGGATGAGGGGATCTCCAATACTACTATAATACAATAGTAGGGGCTGGTTGCTGGGGTCGGGGCAGTCGGCAGCAGGCTGCAGCTGCATTGTTTGTGACACACACATTCATACACATACATACTGTATGTATTACTGTCCTGTGGGGAAGGTGCCAGTGCCCTTTTAAGGGTGGGGGGGGGAGACAAGTGTTTCTGGGCTAACACACCTCAGGAACTTCTGCTTAATGTGTTCTGCTTAATGGAGTCCGTCCTTCCCCAGGGGGCTGTTTGTTGGTCCAACTCCTACACTGAAGTGCTATCTTTTTTGAGAGCTCCATCCATACTGTACATATACATTTAGAATATACCTGGATCAGAGTAGATTTCGATCTGTGAAGCAAGACAAGAAGATTTTGTTTTCCCAGGAAGACATTCATGTGGCTGTTCCAAAGTTAGCTTTTGAGGGTCATACGGGGTACCCCCACATGGTAATCGCACGGGCTTGCTATTTACAACTGCCTCAAACAAAGCCGATCAAAGCACATGTGAAGAAAAGTCTTCCAATTATAAGAACTTAATTAACAATTTGTCAGTTTTGAATCCCGAAAAATGGCAAGAGAATTCAGAGAATCCCCATTTCGGAGAAAAGGAAAGAAGAGCATTGTCTGATCAACTGAGGGATTTGTTGAATTCAAGGCTTTTGGAGGAAAAACCATTCCTGGTAAACTTAAAAAACTCGTCCTTGCAGTGGACACCCTTGCTGCAAGCAATGCTGACTGCGAAGGGGATTCAGTGCGATGAACAACATCATTACAGTGAAACGGACTGCACTTACCACTCGTCATGTGGCGGACTTGCTATTCATTTCATGTGTGGGACCTCCTTATACTCAGTGGAATCCCATGCCATATGTGAAATTGTGGCTTGGAAAGGGCCGACGTGCAGCACATTCATCTCGAGGTATGGCACGACAACAGGGAGAGCAGCCAGAGCAGCTGTATGGCCCAGTGTGGGTGTTGCTATAAGGATGCTTTGCTCCATCCAGTCCTTCCCATGGATGCCCCTTTCTTGCCCCCGCTGGGCTGGCCCACTCACACCTGCCACGTGCCAGGACTGAGCCGGGGGCTGGGGCGGCTTTGCTGTGGGTAGTGGTTCCCCTGGGAGCTGCAGCCCCCACCTGCCACCCCCTATTGCTTGTGTTGTTGCTGCCGCATGCCCCCCAGACCTCCGTCTCCTCCCCTGTCTCCCTGGTGGCTCCCTCCCACAGCCTGGAAGAGAGAACAGCAGCTGCTGAGGCTGGAAGTTTTCCTGGGGACACCACTAAGCAGCAACCCAAAAGCTGGGTGCCCACAGATGCGCTGGCAGTGCCCAGCCAGACCTTGCCTCTTACAGAAGTTCCTGAAGTGTGAGCAGCAGAAATACTGTCTCCCCTGTCCCCCCACCCCTCAAAAGGGCACCGGCGCCCTCCCCACGGGATAGTAATACATACAGTATGTATGTGTATGAATGTGTCACAAACAATGCAGCTGCACCCTGCCGCCGACCCGCAGCGACCCCAGCAACCGGCCCCTGTGGGCTGCTGCTGCCTGCAGAGAGCCAGCAGATGCCACTGGGCTGGGTCTGCCAGGGAGTAAGTAACCAAGGCAAAAAACACAGCCAGCCAGCCAGGGAGGGAGCCAGGGGTCAAGGGACTGCGTTGCCCCATGCCCACCAGTGCCCCGCTTTCCCTAGATCCTCCCTATTTCCTAGCAAGTCAGATATCAAGGATTTTTTAATCTCCCTTCCAGGCACATAGAAGAGTGCAGGGGGCACACCAATGGGTGGCTAGTAGTAGGGGAAGGCAGGGGTGAATGAAGGACAACTGGAATAGCCTTCATGAGATATACAAGATATTTAGAGAAAGTTTTGTTAATTTCAGCCTCTGCACTCTGCAGGCAGGACAAAACAAAAAGCGATCTGAGATTGCGCCCTATGTCCTAAGGACATTTCAGGTGTTTAAATCAATATATAAAGCGGGTGGAATGAAAACTACTATTTCTTTCAAAGGAGGCACAATAATTTCCCTGAATATCCAGTTTTCCCCTCCAATCCCTGTGTGGTTTTGTCTATGGGGGTATTTGCTTTCCCTGTGAATCTTTAGTTGCTTTAGCAAAATTGCTTTGCCCAAAATAAACCCTGATCATCATGACACATCTTCCCACCATGTTCTCCATGTTTTGTGTGTGTGTGTTTTTTTTAAACAGTAACATTTCAAAGAGGATCTGCAAGCAGTTTGGACATCACAACCATGATCCTCTGCTGGGGAGGGAATAGGATAGATTTGAACTTGGAAATGGTTCCTGATGTTTTGTGTATAGGAGATCCCCTCATCCCGGGGCGGAAAAGAACTGCCCTTGCTATGGTCACACACACTGTTCCCCTCTCCCCAGCAACTGTGAGTGAAATTAACAAGCATGCCAGAAACTGCTCCTAACCCCCAGGGCTCAGGGAACAGCTGAGTTTAAACCTTTCTTATGCAGGGGGCAGGCTTCTCCCTCCCTCAGCCAGTCTCCTTTTCTTACCGGTCCTCCCACCAGCCCCTACCGGCTTTCTTTCACCTCTGGGTCCAAGTGGATCCATCTGTTCTCTCTTTCCCTTGCAAGGCTCAATTTCACAGTGATCCTCAGCACGTGTGAAGCCCTGCAGCCGTCTCTCACACGGGACGCGCCGGAGCAGTGGGGGTCTCTGGCCACGTCTTCCAAGGGTTAATGGAGAAACCCCACGCCCCCTTTGACGGAACTGAACCAACCTCACCACATTTGAAAAGGCATCCGGAGCTGCGTGTGCGCCCCGGGCTCAGAGAGCCAGCGCCGGACACGGGGTCCCCCTTGCCATGGGAGCAGCCGCCGCCAGGGCTTAGCTTGCGGAGAGGAGTTGACTTCCCGTTCAAAGCCAGGAGCAGACAGCAATCGGTGCCCTGCAGGGAGATCCTGCCCCTCTAATCCCAAACTCTCACGGGCCCCCCCTCTCCTCTAGTCGCATGTCACTGTGACTCCCAGGCAGCCTCTTGGTGCAGTTTGGTTCCAGCAAAAGTATTTGTAGCTGTAAAGATGAACCGGGCTCTTTTCTCGCTCTGGTGCTGCTGTTTCTATGGATGTACTGTAGGGACCGGTTTCCTCTATCAATTCCCAGCCTCAACTCTGCAGCACAACTACCCCGAGCAGAGCTCAGGGTCTCCGGGCAGCGGATTCGCCAACCGCCGGTGAGTAAATCCAGATCCAGTCCGTCTCTTCCAGCATCCAGCCCCGTGGCTTTTGCCTTGTCCCCTGCTTAGCAGCAGGGCTGTAGCAGCCCCCTTATCTCTACCAGTGAAACGTGAGCCCCCTTGAATGGAAACTTTCCCCAGTAACTGTAACCACTACCGTGGGGAAGCGCAGACTTTTTATAACGCGTGCACAAGTGACTTCAGCATTTCTGTGGCTGTACCTAAGGGATTATCTCCCCTCCCGCTGGTCATTTAGAAATTGCTGCGTTTGGTGTCTTCCCCAGCATGCTGATGAATTGGGAGTAGAAACTCTTGTGTTAAAAAGCCTCCCCCACCCCTCGGACTAGCCAGTAGGAGGCAGCCCATCCCAGAGGGAGCCCGCGAGGTTCCTCTCCTAGTCACTGGAGACCCGAGAAGCCGAGCATTTAGTTGATCTGATCGGCATCATTCAACATGAACCAGAAGAGCCAAGTTCTTGTTAAAATCAGCCCCGCTAAACTGCCCAAAGAGACCCGGTTTAAATGGCCAAGGAAAACAGGAGATTCTCTAGGGCTAACTTGACTCATCCTGTCCTGCAAAAGCGCATTGTGCATTTGTAGGCAACCTAAGAAATGTCATCTGGGTTGGAATCCATTAGCCTTTGTTTAGGAAGCACTAATTAAATTGAGGACTTGATCACTGTCAATAAGACTCCCTGCCTTCCTCAAACCAGGTATTGGGGAATTCTGAATGAAAACAGAACCCCAAAAGGGTTTGGAACCCACCACAATCTTCTGATATCCCCAGACTGCTCCACTAGGCTCCACAGAACCTTAGCTTTGAAAATGACTGAAATGTAACATGCTATGCCAGTAGAGGGAACCATTATAGTCCAGGGAATGCAACTAAAGGTTGTTCAGCTCAACAAAGAAAAAACCTAATTACAGGTTTTATACAAGGGCTACAGCGTTCAAAAGGGAACCAGTCTCCGGTAAAATCAGTTTCACACGAATTTAATGTAAATCACCCTTAATTTATTACCTCTTGCTGCTTTAACAGAGAAAACAATTTAGATCTGTGTCCCCCTTCCCCTTTCTCCCTGAACTTCTCTAGAAGTAAAACAGCTGTTCCAATGAATGAGTAGCTCTGTACAGTAACACAAAGTGGCTTAGGAGTCTTTCAAAAGTATCTTGATCTTAAATCACTTTTTAAAATTCACTGTTGTATCTATTGACCCCCTTAAAATCAGAGCGTGAGTGGTAAACATTCAGCATTTGTAAACCCTGCTTTTCTCTTTGCTGTGCCAGTGCAAATCCCTAGCGCAGGGGTAGGCAACCTATGGCACGTGTGCCGAAGGCGGCACGCGAGCTGATTTTTCAGTGGCACTCACACTGCCTGGGTTCTGGCCACTGGTCCGGGGGCTCTGTATTTTAATTTAATTTTTAAATGAAGCTTCTTAAACATTTTAAAAACCTTATTTACTTTACATACAACTATAGTTTAGTTATATATTACAGACTTATAGAAAGAGACCTTCTAAAAACATTAAAATGTATGACTGGCACGCAAAACCTTAAATCAGAGTGAATTAATGAAGACTCGGCACACCACTTCTGATAGGTTGCCGATCCCTGCCTAGTGGATGAGTTAACACCGGTGTAGAAAGGAGCTCATACCAGTGTCTTTTATCCTGGTTTTAAAACAGAGTAGACTGCACCAGTGCAACAGTGTCTCTATATTATAGGTTTGCATCAGTGCCCCCCCCCAAAAGTGTTAACACGCATGACTGTAAGCATGTCAGGGCAGGGAACATGTCTT